CCGGCATGGATGGGTCCCCCCCCACCACCAGCACAGGGCAGCTACATTTTAGATATCTGTCTGTATTCATCCATAACCTGATGTTGACAAGATCAATGAGCTGCATTGTTCCAACTCCATTATCAGGCAAAATCCCTACGAGGTAGCCTACGCAGGAACATTTAAAAGAATAACTTGGAGCAGTTTCACAAACCTAAAGCCATTTGCGCTTCTCATTCAGTGACCCAGAGCCGCAGAAAGCTTAGTCATGTATAAGATTTACTAAAATCAATGGGTCTGAAGTCAGTCACGTAGCAAAGACATCCCCCATCTTCTACTGAATGTATTTATTTATACTAGCATTGGCATCACATCCTCCTAGTCAATGGGTAGGCAAACTAAGGCCCGGGGGCCGGATCCGGCCCAAAGGAGGATTATACAAGTTCATGAAGGATAGGGCCAATAATGGCTACAAACCCCAATGACTATATATATCTAGTCCACCAGTTGCAAGAGGCTGCAGGAGGGGAGAGTGCTGCTGCGTTTGGGTCCCGCTTGCAGTTCCCCATGGACATCTGGCCAGTGGCGGCCCCTGGTTGCTGGACTAGATGGGCACACTGGCCTGATCCAGCAACCTTTCTTTATAATCTCAGCGCTCACGGCACTACTCAAGGCAACTAACAACTATTAAATTCATCTACAAAAGAATATAATATGCTTAAGACAGAGACAGGTACATCAGTTAAACAAAACCAAGAAATAAAAATCTGACCTTTCAGAAAAAAAGCTAGCCTAAACAAGCACAAAAATAACAGAGGGCCTGACAAACCTCACCAAGCAAAGTTTCACAATTTAGGTGTGGACACAGAGCAAGTTCCTTTCTCTCGGTGCTTTTTTTTCTGGGGGTACTCAAGGATACACAGTACCAGCACCTTCTTTTCTAGAACAAAAGCACAGCTTTCTCTAGTCTCCATCAACTGAGCTTCCGCTACAGTTGGGACGCAGAGAAGGGCTCCTCTATCAAACTCAAGAGCATGGGCAAGCTAGTAGTATACAGTGGTGCCCCGCAAGACGAATGCCTCGCAAGACGAAAAACCCGCTAGACGAAAGGGTTTTCCGTTTTTCGATGCGCTTTGCAAGACGAATTTCCCTATGGGCTTGCTTCGCAAGACGAAAACGCCTTGCGAGTCTTGCGATTTTTTTCGCTCCCCCCCCTTTTTCTAAGCCACTAAGCTGCTAATAGCCTTTTAGCCGCTAAGCCTCTAAGCCTTTAATAGCCGCTAAGCCGCTAAACCGCTAATAGCGCTAATCCACTAATAGGGTTGCTTCGCAAGACGAAAAAACCGCTAGACGAAGAGACTCGCAGAACAGATTATTTTCGTCTTGCGAGGCACCACTGTACTTGTGTTGGGGAGTCCTCACCGGTGCTATTTTTCCAGAAAAAGAGGTGCCAGAACGCCTCCCTTGTTCTCTTATAATGGCAATGGCGCCACCTGAGAGGTGCCAGAACAGAGTTCCTGTGAGTTCCAGCTGAAAAAAAAGTCCTGGTCGTCACCATGAATAGCCTGTCAGCCTGGGAGGAGGTGAGGTAGAAAAGAGAGAGACAGGAAAGAGTGCATTGGACGAAGGGCCAGAGAGGCTGCAGAGAGACAGACATGGAGAGCCGGCATCAGAGGGAGTTGCTTGTACTTAAGAAAACAAGGCTCTCTCCTGTCACATTTTATCCTCACAAAACCCTGTGAGCTAGGTTAGGCTAAGAGAAGGTGACAGCCCAAGGTCACCTAGTGAGCTCCATGGCTGAGCAGGAAACTGAACCCATGTCTAGGACCCAGGTCCTAGTCCAAGACTCTTAACCACTACAGCAGACCTGCAATGGAGATGGGCTGGGGCTTCTTCTGCCTTGCAGAATGGTTTGCAACTATTTCACGAGTAGCAGAGGTAGAATTATGTAATAAAATAAAAGGAAATGCATGGAAGCTTACTTAGTTTGCAAGCCGTATGCAGACTGAAAAGTTTGTATTACTTTTGCACACTACAGTGGTACCTCGGGTTAAGTATTTAATTCGTTCCGGAGGTCCGTTCTTAACCTGAAACTGTTCTTAACCTGAAGCACCACTTTAGCTAATGGGGCCTCCCGCTGCCGCCGCGCTGCCAGAGCACGATTTCTGTTCTCATCCTGAAGCAAAGTTCTTAACCTGAAGCACTATTTCTGGATTAGCGGAGTCTGTAATCCAAAGCGTATGTAACCTGAAGCATATGTAACCCAAGGTACCACTGTATTTGTTTCTGTTCAATGTACAAGGCATGCACCTTTAGTTATGCAAACCTGCAGACAGACTAATTCAGAGCCATCTGAAATCAAGATCGACATATCCCTGCCTGCTTACTCAGGTGGAGAATTCATTCTACAGGACTGCAAGTTCAGTCAAAAGACTGTAAATTTCAGGCAAAATACCTCCAGGCAGTGGCTTTTTTTTCCAGGGGGTACTCAAGGGTACACCTTTTTGTTGTTGTTGCTGTTGTTAAAAAGTGTGATAACTTCATGGTGAATACCGGCACCTACTTTTCTAGGGGGAAAAGCACTGCCAGCAGGGATCAGAGGTATGCTTTAGCATTTTGCATATGGACTGGCAAACAGAACCCCAAAATTGTTTATTAGGATTCTGTACTTAAGGTGTGAGTGTAAGATATCCAGTCAAATCTCCTATAAAGAGAGATAACTCCTCACTACAGATATAACGGGACGCAGGTGGCGCTGTGGGTTAAACCACAGAGCCTAGGACTTGCCGATCAGAAGGTTGGCGGTTCAAATCCCCACGACGGGGTGAGCTCCCGTTGCTCGGTCCCTGCTCCTGCCAACCTAGCAGTTCGAAAGCACGTCAAAGTGCAAGTAGATAAATAGGTACCACTCCAGCGGGAAGGTAAACGGCGTTTCCGTGCGCTGCTCTGGTTCACCAGAAGCGGCTTAGTCATGCTGGCCACATGACCCAGAAGCTGTACGCCAGCTCCCTCGGCCAGCACAGTGAGATGAGCGCCGCAACTCCAGAGTCGGCCACGACTGGACCTAATGGTCAGGGGTCCCTTTACCTTTACCTTCTACAGATATAACAAATTGGGTTCTTCAACTATGTTAGTCCTCTTCTGAACTAATTTCCATCCTCCTGCACTGAGAACTTTAAAAAAAAACCTGTGTCTTTCCAACACGTTTTAAAGGTACATTAAACTTGGCTGAACTTTGTTTGCACTCAACAATATCTGAGCGATCTCACTGGCAGAACACAAAAGGGAACATCTGCTCCACCTAATGCCACCTGAAGGAAGACTAAGGCGTTCAGAAAAATCACACAATAGTGTAATATTCCTGCTCCTCAACCCTAGCATAGAAGGGCTATTTTCTGCCCTGTATAATCCATGACTAATAATAGGAAAATTCCCCTTTACTATGATGGATAGAGGATGGTAGGACAAAATGCAGGAAAGTTTTTACTTTCTTGCAAAATCCCTCTCACTGGGGATTAAGCTATTAAGTCAAAATACTAATGCAATATTCTACCGTATTTTTCGCTATATAAGACGCACCAGACCACAAGACACACCTAGTTTTTGGAGGAGGAAAATAAGAAAAAAAAAATTCTGAATCTCAGAAGCCAGAACAGCAAGAGGGATCGCTACACAGTGAAAGCAGCAATCTGTCTTGCTGTTCTGGCTTCTGGGTTAGCTGCGCAGCCTGCATGCACTCCATAAGACGCACAGACATTTCCCCTTACTTTTTAGGAGGGAAAAAGTGAGTCTTATAGAGCAAAAAATACGGTATTTCTCCCCATCTACACAGGTGAAATTAAAACACAAACACTCAGGGATACTGCTCCCTCCTGTTTTTGGCAAAGTAGTGTCTGGGGTGATGTTTCATCCCTTCTCAACTGTGGCTCACACTCGCAGCCTGCTTGCTTCATTCCACACAACGCAATGAGGCCTCTGAAAACTGAGGTGGCCCCTGTAGGTACAGCACTTCCTCATTCTCTTGACCCTTTCTGGTTAAGGCCTGGGTTTCAGCACTAAGACAGATCTGGTCTTGTTGGTGGGTGGATCTCAGTTATGGGAACCAAGCATTCAGCCTGCCCTGGGTGGAGCAGCACTCTCCCTGAAAGAGCAGGGAGAACAGCCAACTCTGCCATCTCAGCTAAGTCCAATCATTCTAACAACCGTGGTACAGATGTCCACATCCTTGATGGGCTTCCATCACCTAACTAAAACACTTGTATTTGGAGGTCTTGGGTTAAGCTTGCTCTGGGTTTAAGGATTGCCTGCACTATTGTTGCTGCTGCTGTTAATTTTGGATGATTGCTGTTTTAAAACGTGGTGCGATTTTATTATGTCGGGAACGGCTTCGTAACAATACTCTGCACAGCGTTGCCTCGTGTTTTGCTCGTTGTCGTCCCCACCACGCTCTTAAATTCCTATGCTCTGTTCTTCACATGAGTGAGCATTTAAGGATCCCCATCTGCAGCTGGACCATAAAGAAGGCTGATCGCTGAAGAATTGATGCTTTTGAATTATGGTGCTGGAGGAGACTCTTGAGAGTCCCATGGACTGGAAGAAGAACAAACCTATCCATTCTGAAGGAAATCGGCCCTGGGTGCTCACTGGAGGGACAGATCGCGAAGCTGAGGCTCCAATACTTTGGCCACCTCATGAGAAGAGAAGACTCCCTGGAAAAGACCCTGATGTCGGGAAAGATGGAGGGCACAAGGAGAAGGGGGCGACAGAGGACGAGATGGTTGGACAGTGTTCTCGAAGCTACCAGCATGAGTTTGACCAAACTGCGGGAGGCAGTGGAAGACAGAAGTGCCTGGCGTGCTCTGGTCCAGGGGGTCATGAAGAGTTGGACACAACTAAACAACAACAACAACATCTGCAGTCTCAAGTGCTACACGGCCAGGAGAAGTTCCACACTGTTCTGCTGCTACTGCAGCTCTGCTGTAACACAACCCAGAAGCTTTTCATATGGCACCAATACTCACATTCAAAGCATTCTTAGCAGCTTCTGCTTCTGAGCGACTGTCGAAACTAACGAAGCCCACCGGCTGGAAGAAAACGAGAAAATCAGAGGTTGGAGGAGGGGAATTATTGTTGAAGGATGAATAAAGAACCCAGGGATAGGAATATTCACACTTCAGTGATAAAAAAGTTACATACTGATGCAGCTACTGTAATCCACTGAATTAAAAGATTAATCAAACAGAACATTGGTGATTATCAGTTTTAAGTGGTGAGCTTGGAAGTACAAGGTATAATTGCCTGTTTTTTATGGCTATTTTGTGTTAAAAGGAAATGAACACATTAAGGTTTAGTTTTCCTTCGGTTAAAAGGCAGACACTTTATTACCTTCAACCTGTTGGCAGTTCTATAACGTTACTGTATGATGCTTTTGAAAATCTTTGCTGAACTCCACATAAACCCAAATAATGTTTAATAGCCCACAAGACAGCCAAGGCGAATCTAGACTGAATACAATCAGGAGATTTATGGTGCTTGAAACGTTGTGCCAAAATTTCATACCATCTCCTTAGTTTAGAATTTTTCACGTTAACCATACACCGCTGACATTTATGTTAACGATTTCCTGCTTAGCAGGCTTACCTGCTTAGATGTGAGTTTAATAAGAGAGCCTTCATAACCCTGCAGGAAGAAATAAAAATTACAGTCTGGCCAAGATAAAATTTAAGAACAATGCTAGATAAATAAATGTGAATATATAAAAACAGGATACAGTACATTTTTCCCTGAGTGACTTGTTATTTGGCTATACTTAGAAACAGCAAACTTTAAGAGGAAGGTTTGTGGGAAAGATGCAAGATATTTCATTTGGCTCCAAGGCAGAAGTCTTATTAACAGTAGGAGCTGAACTCTCCTTCTCTATCCCAACTCCTAAAGGTGGGCTTAACAGCATGGTTTAAGGGTGCTTATTCTTGCTGGAAATACATGTTGCCTACTGTTCTTGTTTGAGAAAGAAGCATTAAACAAAAATAGCAAGCCTGAAAACCTTTGCACATTTACTTAGAAATAAGCCCTTTTGAGAGACCATCTTGGCCGTAAGTCCTGGAAGACCTGCTCCTTGCCTTGCAGTTATTTTTCCAACTGGTCTGGGAGGGCAGGGCCCGGACTGACTCCAGCTACAAAAGCTGAGGCTGCTGAACAGACTCTTTGGAGTCTATTTGGAGTTTTTTGCTGTTATTGATATTAATTTTTGTATCTTTTTTTAAAGATCTTGTTACAAGTTATGTGGAAATTGTTCAATTTGGTTGTGTACCTTTTGATGTTTTATTGTTTATGACTACTTTGGTTATGTTTGTAGTTATGTAACTTTTTATGTTGTAAGCTGCCTTAAACATGGTTTCAACTTTGGAAAGGGAGCATGCAAATAAAATGATTGACTGATTCTAAGCACAGTAGGGCTTCCTTCTGAGTAAACATGTGAAGCTTTGCATTGTAAAACCCATCCAAACTGTGAATTATTAGAATATCCAGAATTTTACAGTAGTACTTCAGTACGGCTGTGGTTTTGTTGCTTGGGTACAAGCTTTTCCACTGCAACTGGGATCACCACACATCTGAATGCCCCCCTTCTCATATAGACACAGTGACCAATCAGATGCCTCAGGGAACAAATGAATATGGCAAATTTGCACACAAGGCAGAAGACGAGAACCTAGAACTCTTTGCCCCGACATCACATGTGCAAGGAGGGTGGTTTAAAAATATATACACATACACAGTTGGTGGAACATTCAAACGTAACATATCTGAATTCTTAAATCCAAGCTTACTATATGACTACACTGGATGTTTAGAGAAGTTCTTTGATTTAAAAAAAACAAACTCCTTGAAAGAGCATCAACATTCAAGTCTAGTGTCTACTTGCAGATGTAAATAAAGGGTGATACGGATTCTGGGATGGTATAAAATAAGGGTGAGCAAATAGGGGTTTGTGCGTCGTGGATGTAAGAGGCAGAGAGAAGGCGAAAAAAGGTTAGTTACCCCAGGTCTAAGAGAACAGGGTGTCCACTCTGCCTAATTAAATATGGGTGTCTGAGGATTTCATGTAAAAGATGAGGAAAATTTATATCCCTGCTCTGCTAGCAATAAAAGGAACATAGCTGATCATTTGCAAAAGAAGGTCGAAGGAAATGCTTGTGGAAGGGAATCTTCAAATAGCTTTACTAGGAAAGCTAATGATGCAAATCTTAAACAGCTAGTGAGATGCACACCCAAGTGTGGGTGTGAAGTAACCATGAGGATAGGCAGAAGCTGAGAAATGTGGGGCACGTTCCTGTCCCAGATTTCCTATCCAGGTGGCTCTGTTCTTCTCATGGGGCTCCACTTCCTCTCTTGCCCTTGGGATGCCTGTCCCTCTGTCTCTGCTCCCAAAAATCCCATGCTGCCTCTCCATTTTCAATTTCAGACACTAGTTATGGTAGGTCCTGCTCAAATTCGTTCTTGACCTGTTCGCTTCCAGGCCTGTTGAGCATGGCAGGCTTCAGGCTTTCCCCCCTTTCTAAATGTGAGGTATGCTTCTTAGACATGCAAACAGGTCTGACGGAAGGGTGGGGATAAGAGTAACAGGTCACAAAGCCACTGGTGGTTTTCTTAAAGCAGCGGGAATCAGGGCTATCCTTGCATGCAAATTCTGCAGTGATGGGACATTTGCGGTGTTCCCTGGAAGCAAAAATAATACTTATGGGATGTTAAAATCATTACAGATTATGTCTGTAAGACCCAGAAACTCAAATTTAGTGGATCTATAAAGGTAAAGGGACCCCCGACCGTTAGGTCCAGTCGCAGACGACTCTGGGGTTGCGGCGCTCATCTCGCTTTATGGTCGAGGGAGCCGGCGTACAGCTTCCAGGTCATGTGGCCAGCAGGACTAAGCCGCTTCTGGCGAACCAGAGCAGCGCACGGAAACGCCGTTTACCTTCCCACCATAGCAGTACCTATTTATCTACTTGCACTTTGACGTGCTTTCAAACTGCTAGGTTGGCAGGAGCAGGGACCGAGCAATGGGAGCTCACCCCGTTGCAGGGATTCAAACCGCCGACCTTCTGATCGGCAAGTCCTAGGCTCTGTGGTTTAACCCACAGCGCCACCCGCGTCCCTTCTAGTGAATCTATAGTCCAATTCATTTTCTGTCTGAAAATGGGACATGTGCACATTTTGACTTTGATACAGAGGGAAACATAAAAGTAGTTGTACCCCAAGACACGCCAACTGCTGAGAAGCAGGAGGTACTTCAGCATTAGCTAGCCAGATTCAGTTTGCAACATACATAATGCCAAGACACTAATGTGTACTAAGGAAGTCTGGAGTTGGGACATTTTTACATCCAGTAGTTAAAACTTGGAAGATGGGGTTCATTTCCTAAGAGAAACCAGCACTGCAACAGAAAATAAACCAGGCTGGGCTGCGGGAATTCTGTTGCCTGGACTGGGAGCTGGAGGACTTCCAAGAAGGAACCAGGAATACGCATGTATGCTTGCAGAAAGCATACATAAGTGTGTTCATATTATTACATGTCGCTCAGCCTTCTTATGAATCCTTACTCCAAATCCCTACCATCATTAGAGGTCAGCATTCACAACTTTAAACCCTGATCACACCAGTATGCTATTTATAATTATTCTATTCATGGGCTCTTGGCCAACTTTCACTTCATGGGAAAGTCATTGTAGCCAAGTTTTTATTTGAAATAAGATATCATGATAGACTGCATCGCAACCTTTTTCAAAATCCAGATACTGAGGAGCATCGTCTGAATTTCTGTCTGCTACTCCAGAAGAGGCAATTACATATTATTGCGCCGATTTACCATTTATGACAAACAGGAAACGAACCACAAGTATTTACGTAAACAAGGACACTGGCACTTCAGTTCCAAGTTCAATAGCAGGGTACCTTGAATGGTCTGAACAACAAATAGAGTTCCCGGGGCTTGATGTCCAGAGGCAGGCCGCTGACAAATAGCGTTCGTACCTTTAACAAAAACAAAAGCGAAAAGGGCACACGTCAAGAATATTAAGGCCACTTAACCTTCTTTTAAAAAATAATAATAAAGAAGTTCCAAATAGTAGTTTCTTCAACCTTTAAAGTCTGTTCACAAAAATGACTAGCCTACCTGCCCAAACATATCTTGTTAGCTGTATATGACAAATCAAGAGGAAGTCTGTGGAGAGTGACCTGAACTCTTAATTTATAAAAGCTTCCCATCTCTGAACACAAGGGATTCTTACTTACTGCAGGTAACCTGGAAGGTCTAAACCTTCCTTATGAATATGAAATGGCTTCGAAGTCATCCGATGGCAATGTTTCATTTCCCCAGCCCTGTTTGTTAATTTCAAATAATAACTCCTGCACATACTGCAACATTAAAAAAAACCCCCAACAGAATTACACTGATACTAAAGCAGTTTCTTCTGCACTGGAAAGTGAGTGCTGGTGGATCACAGCCATATTTCGCTGCAGTCATCACTTCAAGCTTCTCTTAACAATTATTTAGCCAGAAATAAATAAATGTTTACCCATTAAAGCAGCATTAACCCCCCACCCAACTTTAAGCAGATGACTTAAAAACTATCGCCAAGTGTTGGCTTCCTTGCATATGAAGTAACGCAGAGTTCTGCAAATCCGGAAAATTTATACCCGTAGCAATGTAAAATGCTCTACCAATGTCTATATCCGCGTGCAAAGTTACTTAATAATGCTATGCAAGAAGAAAATGTATGCTGCAATCATGTACTCTGCTTCAGAAACGGCCTTAGCTCAAGAGTATCTTTGAAAACATCTCCCACAGAAACCTCTCTCTAGCCAAAGAACATCTGGGAGACCCTGTTCTGCATACAGCTCTTTATGATGTCAGTTTATGAGCTCCTGAGATAGGACTCTTAATTGTGGTGCCAAGAACTGCTTCATGTCCTCTCCAGGAAGGCTTGCCAGCTTATCCTTCTTAGCACTCAGAGGCCTGGTGAAAATCTACCTATTCTATCAGGCTTTAAACATCTAAGTATGGACTTCAGGTCCATAAGCTTGTTAAATAATGCATAAGCTGCTCCTTTCAAAATACGTTTTTCAGGCACAACTGAGCCAGAATCTCTTCATTCATGCCAGGCCCTAATGAACAGATTCCCATACGCCCCTGTGGTCTCGCATTTTCTTTTCGTTCTCTCTCCCCCTACCTCATCTAACCTTGTTAAGTTATTTTGGACTTACTTGCATTGGGGTTACCACATTTCCTCTGATTTTGGAAATATCAAGAAAGCATTTTAAACTAGAATTTAATAGAATCATAGAATCATAGAGTTGGAAGAGACCACAAGGGCCATCGAGTCCAACCCCCTGCCAAGCAGGAAACACCATCAGAGCACTCCTGACATATGGTTGTCAAGCCTCTGCTTAAAGACCTCCAAAGGAGGAGACTCCACCACACTCCTTGGCAGCAAATTCCACTGTCAAACAGCTCTTACTGTCAGGAAGTTCTTCCTAATGTTTAGGTGGAATCTTCTTTCTTGTAGTTTGGATCCATTGCTCCGTGTCCGCTTCTCTGGAGCAGCAGAAAACAACCTTTCTCCCTCCTCTATGTGACATCCCTTTATATATTTGAACATGGCTATCATATCACCCCTTAACCTCCTCTTCTCCAGGCTAAACATGCCCAGCTCCCTTAGCCGTTCCTCATAAGGCATCGTTTCCAGGCCTTTGATCATTTTGGTTGCCCTCCTCTGGACACGTTCCAGTTTGTCAGTGTCCTTCTTGAATTGTGGTGCCCAGAACTGGACACAGTACTCCAGGTGAGGTCTGACCAGAGCAGAATACAGTGGCACTATTACTTATATAGGATGTTCCTTTTTTGGCTACACACAGGGCTTTTTTTCAGCTGGACCTCACCAGAGCTTAGCTCACCTCTCAAGTGGGTGCCATTCTAAAAGAACAAGGGAGAAGTTCGTGGTGAGCTCCAGCACCTCCTAGAAAAATAGCAGCGGCTGCAAATCACCTTGAGCCCTACTTTTCTTTGCAAGGCTCTCATACGTTTTATAGATAAATAATGAAAACTTCCTATGCCAAGTCACAGCGTTTTGCAATGTTTCTACCCTATCACTCGCACAAAGGACCTGCTGTTGTTTAAGAAAGAAGCCGGCTGTCAAACGAGTCCTCTGTTTAGGGCTCTGTCATCAGAAAGTACTCCTAGTCTGTTTCCTGGTGTTATAATTTCCACGGGTTGCAACCAATGTTTGGAATCTACTGTACAATCTCCCTTAAGTTAGGAATGCAAGTTTATTCCAGACTCATAAAGGGCTGCTCAGATCTGACTATGCAAGATAAAAGTGCCCAACTGTTGTTTGTCCACCCCTATGCTTCACCAAACCAAACATTAATTTTCTGAAGAATGCCAGAGGTCCTGAAGGATTAGCAAGGCACTGATCGGCACATTAGGCAGAATGTTTCAGCCTGGCTGGTACTGTTTCCCATTAAGAGATATGTGCTTGCTTCAGCTTCGTGAGGAAATCAGTACCAGTTTGCCCCAAAGCAATGTGCTGCTTTTGATTCAGCAAATATGAAATGAGTGCCCACTCAACAGCCTTCCACCCTATTTTTTTTTCCACATCTCATAATAGGAAGAGGAGGAGAAGTTAACAGCAACTCTTTTTCTAATATGTTCCGGGGCAGAAAGAGACTCTACTGTCTACCCCAACCAATCAAAAGTTGGCCAAAGAAAGTTTCCTGACCAGGATAAGGTAAAGGTAAAGGACCCCTGGGCGGTTAAGTCCAGTCAAAGGTGACTATGGGGTGTGTTGCTCATCTTGGCTTTCAGGCCAAGGGAGCTGGCGTTTGTCCACAGACAGCTTTCCAGTTCATAAGGCCAGCATAACTAAACCACTTCTGGCGCAATGAGACACCATGACAAGTGCCAGAGCGCATGGAAACAGTTTATCTTCCCGCCACAGCGGTACCTATTTATCTACTTGCACTGGTATGCTTTCCAACTGCTAGGTTGGCATAAACTGGGAAAGAGCAATGGGAACTCATCCCATCGCGCTGATTCGAACCACCAACCTTCCATTCGGCAAGCCCAAGAGGCTCAGTGGTTTAGACCACAGCACCACCCTTGTCCCTCTGACCAGGATAACATAGACTCTGACCCCAACATCCCCCCCCCTCTCTCCAACATACACATACCTCTCTAAATAGACATCACCAGCTGTCCTGAGACTCTGCCTTTGGCCAACTATAAAGATAATCATTGAGGATTCAGTAGGACATAAAAGAGACCTCACAGAAAGGCACTTTGATGGCTAGAGGCAAAGGATTTTGTCATCCCAGACGTCTGAAGGCAGTTTGATAGAGAGAATGCTGCTTGTGGTGTGTATGCTGTTACAAAAGTTGGGTGCCTCCCCCTCTCTCCGAGCGGTGGCAAGTGTCCAGGGGGGATCCAGGCACTCACCCAGGGTCTGTGTTCCTTTGCAGAATTGAGACATGGCAGAGACTGTTGTAGCTTAAAGAAATAAGGTTTGTTCGCCTATTTACAACTTCACTCTGCATGAAGGGAGTCCAGATCTTACAGCATGTCAAGATTGTACCCCTCAGCACTGCAGCCACGGAGTCCGAGGCATATCTCCCAGTCAGCCTTCAGCCAGCCTGCCAAAGATGGATCCCAGTCCTTCTTCTCCCCCCTTCTTCTTCCCAGAACACCTTGCTAAAAAATCTTCTCTTTTCCTATCACCTCACATCCAGTTACCCTGGCAACCTTCCCAAACCCCAGCCTCTGTTTACACCTCAGGGCAAAGGGGGAAGACAGTTCTCTTGCAATGCCAATGGCCCTGTATTGTTTCTTAATGGCCCTAGCTTGGCCAGGTGTTTTTGGCTAGCTCAGGAATTCCTCTGCAGCTTTTATTTCTCCCTTCACATCCCAAATAATCAAAGTGCTGCCTAATTTATATGACTTAGGGGGGTCCCCCCAATCTATAACAATACTGTTTCCACGTTTGCCTCTGTGAAGATAGGTTTGGTAAGTATTTGTACATTCAGTCCTCCCCCCTTTAACACCTTATTTGACCATCAGCAAGAGAAGACTGTCCCCCATCTCCTGCCTTATGCAATTCCTTCATCAGGGCAATATGCAAACAACAGACCAAAACAGGTTTGCTCAAAAGAGGGGAGGCAGAAGGTGAGGACTTTTGTTTTCAGATGGGTGCCTTTGTCTTCTCTCTTTTCTGTGCTAGTTAAGCAGGGTATTTACATTTAACTTGAGCCTACAGTTTCAGTCAGAGAGCACTTAAAACTGAGCAACAAAGGGTCTTCTGGCTTGATGTAATCATGGTCCAAATAGTAAGTGACCCAAGTTCTCTTCTCTGTAAATAAATTATACAGTGCAAAGGTGAAATTCAAGCTCCATTGCTCTTTAGAAGCAAAAGTCTAGCGGCGTGTTCAATGGAAGAACACCAAAGAGAGATGAGATCAGCAATTAATTGCCTTTTAGTCAAGGGGGTAGGGATAGACTCCCACACAGCTATACTTGTGTAAGCATTCTTATATGCAGTAAGGATCCAGCTCTGCTGGCTCAAGTCAAGGAACCATGTCATCGGGCATTCCATCGCCAACAAGTGCCACCCACGTGCTTTCACAAAGTTTAAAATTAGGACCCTCCACTATTGGCTCCCAGAACCTGGTCTTCAGGACTATGCTATCTCCCTACACTGAGGCTCCATTAGTTATCATGAAGGATAATTTTCATTGACAGACCTTTCCCCCATGAATTTGCCTTAAAATTACCCACCACTAAGCCCATCTCAAGGGACACAGGTGGCACTGTGGTCTAAACCACAGAGACTAGGACTTGCCGATCAGAAGGTCGACGGTTCGAATCCCCACGATGGGGTGAGCTCCCGTTGCTCGGTCCCTGCTCCTGCCAACCTAGCAGTTCAAAAGCACATCAAAGTGCAAGTAGATAAATAGGTACCACTCCGGCGGGAAGGTAAACG